TCCGTCGTCGCTGCCGCCGCCGCTGTCGCCGCCGCCGCAATCTCCGCTGCTCCCATCAACGCCGTCCTCGCTGCCTTCTACCGCCGTCGCCGCTGTCGATGTCAGTGGTAAGGTATATTTTTGCGGCGGAGTCTGGTTTACTTTCGGGAGGCCTTGCCTACTTTCGAAGGAGTGCGACCCAATCGTGGCTGTTCTGGCTCATGCGTGGCAGCGCTCTGGTTTATGCGTGCGCGGGGTATGCCGACTTTTGTGACAGGTCGGATGGTTGCTTTGTTTTACTCTTGGGAAAAGCATGATCTAATTGCGCGCGAAGTATCGTTTATTTTCTCGCGCGAGTTCGCCTCCATTGATGGGCAATCTGCTCTGTTGCTCAGCTATGCATGCTGCATTTGTGGATCGTTTGGCGCAACAGGCAACTGCCCCCGCGGCCGCTCACTCGCCGCGGTGGCTCGCGCCAGAGGCCCCGCATCGTCGCCAGAGTCCAGACTCGCTGGGCGCCAACATCACGACGCGGGCCTCTGTCTCTGCAAGTCGACGTCTGTCCACCCGCGCGAGCTCCCCGCCTGCGCCGAATAACATATCAGCTGCCGCGTCCTTCGCGGCGCCTCAAAGGTGCCCCATCGACGCCCATGCGCGCAAGAGCCACGGGCAACAATCGCTCGTCGAAGTTCGGGCAGGCGCGAGGGGGGGGCCCTCGAACAAGTCCAACGAGCAGGCCAGGGCGCGCATAATATCACTCTTTGAGTTCCCTGCTTGCCGTAGTTTCTGCGCGGTTTTGGCGTCGAGTGATAAGATGCTCGCGACAAAGTCCGCGGCGCCCTTCCTCCTCTCATTCAGCGCGGAAGCCAGAAATAAGTCTCCGCAGTGCCAAGCTCGGCAACATTGAGAAATGGCGCCCGCGGCGGGGGCGCCCGACCATCGCAAAATGGCGTGCGGAACCCGCGCCGCTACGGAGACGATGGCAAGCATCTCGACGGTTTTTGATGTGATTCTGAAAGAACGGTGAGTTTTGCCAGAGCACACGGTCGCGCCAGAGGCTGCGACGGGGACCTCCAAACCCACGTCCTCCAGGAATGACACGGGGGGGCGGTGGCGGCGGCAAAATCTTGCGGCCAAAAGCTTCCTTGCGCGCAGCCAGGTGCACCGACGCCATCTGGCGAGCACGTCGCGTCAGAGGCTGCGATTTCCGCGGCCACAACTCCGCGAGCCGCTTCAGCCGACTCAAAAAAACAATGACAGCGTCGGCCAAACCGGACTCGGCTCCGGACCCCATGCCAGCGAGCAGGGGCCAATCTTCCTGGTCGACGGGCACGCGCGCACCCTCCGCTTTGAACAACCACCGCAAGAACCTGGGGATCAGCAAGGCGACGCAACGAGCCGCAACGAGGAGGCCGTGGGGGAACGGGACGACGTCGGAACGGGGGCAGGGAATGCGGGGAGCAACGAAGACGAAGAGGACGCGCAATATGGGGAGGAGGGGGGGGGAACCACGGTGCAGGGGAAGCCATGACGCAGAACGCGGGGAAGGCTAACCCCTGTCGAGCAACGCTGGGGCCTGAGAAAAGGTTGGTTTTGTGGGCCCAAACCACCTGACGCGATTGTAACTGGCGCCTGCCCAAAGCCGCATCTCGCGCAGCGCTCTCTCTGCGTCCCTGAACGTGGGTTTTGCTGCGACGAGTACTTTGGCAAGATCTTCGCAAGCTGCTCGGACTTCTCCATGGCGCGCGTCAGGGATCAAGATCGCGAGTTCCTGACCACCCGCGCGGCGACTCGCTGGGTTCACGAACGGATGATACGCGAAAGTCGCGCCAGAGGCTGCGCTCGCGCGCTTGGTCCGCGCACCGCGGCATATAAAGTCGACCTTGTGCTCGTCGCCGTATCCGAATACCTGTCGCCCGCTCGTGTCCGCTTCCGTCGAAGTCCACGCGTCCTGAAATACGTCAGCTCGCTCTGCGGAGCTCGCGTGCTCCAAACGAGGCAGCGCAGTCGACAAGTGTTTAAGTATCGATGTCGTCGACCATCGCCAATAGCACACATAAATCACCGACAGAATTTCCAACCGCGCAGCCATCGCGCCAGGGGCTGCGTTCCGAAGATACTGGCCGCATGCTATGCCGACCCGTATGTCGTGTCTGTGAAGCAAGGAAATGACAACACCACCCACAACGAACGCGCCAACTTTGTCGCACGCTTTGCCCAATACATCACCCAACCTGGTGACTTTCCAATGTTGCCCTCTCTTCTTCGGGCGATATGCGGTACATTCCTCATCTTTGCAGCTCCCATCGCGGTCCCTGGCGCGCGGGAGGCCCACCTGGCAGCGCAACACCATCGCGCCAGAAGCTGCGAACGACTGCGAATCGCATCATCGTCTAGCGCGGTCGGGCGTCGTTCCGCTCGAGCCCAAGAAGCCACGGACATGCGGATAGCGCGATGAACGTCGCGCGAAACCCCCGCTGCGCCAAGTTTCATATGGTCGTGACGACTTTCCGATTGCTACGGCAGGCAGTGTAATGCGTCCGCGGGCACGGAGCGTGCTTGCAAGGTCGGTGCCAATCCCCTGATGAATGACCTGGAATACTTGTCGACAAACCGCACAAACAGCAACGCATGCCGCGAAACAATGAAGCACGCCGCCCAGAACGTAAAGCAGACCACCCCCAAAAGTACAGGAGATCACCCCAAAAAATATCATACCACCGTAACAACAAAGGAAACCACCAACGGAATTACGCAGCCCACCCAAAAAGTAAAGCCGACCACGGAAAGTAAAGCAGACCACCCAGGAAAGTCGAGGCCTCCACCCAACAAGTAAAGCAGACCATCCCAACAAGTAATGTAGCCCACGCCAAAAAGTGAAGCAGACTGCTTAGGAAGGTGGATCAAGCCACCGTAAAAAAACAAAGGAAGCCACCAATAGACCTACGCAGACCACCCAAAAAGCAAAGCCGACCACCAGGGAAAGTAAATCAGACCACGCCGAAAAGTAAAGCCGACCAGAGACAATAAAGCAGACCACCCAAGAAAGTCAAGGACGCCAGCCGACAAGTAAAGCAGACCATCCCAAAAAAGTAAAGGAGACCACCCCAAAAGTAA